CACAGTCATCTGCCATAGGCCATAAGGTTAAACAACACTGTCATCTACTTTAGGCCACAAGGTCAAATAACAAAGCCTTCTATCTTAGGCCACAAGGTTAAACGACATAGTCATCTGCCTTTGGCCACAAGGCTAAACAACACAGTCATCTGCCTTTGGCCGCAAGGTTAAACAACACAGTCATCTGCATTAAGCTACAAGGTTAAACAACACAGTCACCTGCCTTAGGCCATAACGCTAAACAACACAGTCATCTGCCTTAGGCCAAAAGGTTAAACAACACAGTCATTTGCCTTAGGCCATAGGATTAAACAACACATTCATCGGCCTCGGGCAATAATGTTAATCAACATATCCATCTGCCTTAGGCAACAAGGTTAAACAACACAGCCTTATGCCTTAGGCAACAAGGTTAAACGACACAGTCATCTGCCTTAGGCCACAAGGTTAAACAGCATAGTCATCTGCCTTAGGCGACAAGGTTCAACAACACAGTCATCTGCCTTAGGCCACAAGCCTAAACGACACAGTCATCTGCTTTAGGCCATAAGTTTAAAGGAGAATACGAACGAAAACAAAATTTTGGATAGGGATAAACAACGCAGTCTTCTGCCTAAGGCCACAAGGTTAAACAACACAGTCATCTGCCTTAGGCCACAAGGTTAAACAACACAGCCATCTGTGCAAGATAAAAGTAATTAATCAACCAGCGTAGTTACAAAAAGCTACATCCTAAGGTAGATGACTGTGTTGTTTAGCCTTATGGCCTAAGGTAGATGACTGTGTTGTTTAACCTTGTGGCCTAAGGCAGATGACTGGGTTGTTTAACCTTGTGGCCTAAGGCAGATGACTGTGTTGTTTAACCTTGTGGCCTAAGGCAGATGACTGGGTTGTTTAACCTTGTGGCCTAAGGCAGATGACTGTGTTGTTTAGCCTTGATTATTGAAAATACAGTTCAGGTAAATGCTGCACATTCGCCAGACTTGGACACTTATAACTGGGCCAGTCCCTCTAACACTGTAGGATTAGTTTGTATCATACGGCAGCTTGTTGGGGAGTGATGTCATTGATTGTATCATCCCAAAGTTAATGTCGTCTATAGCATTATCCCACTCGCGTCTACCCATGGCGGCAGTCTGAAACAGAATGACTTTAAATTAAAAATCCCGCGCAGATTTTGAAATCTGAATGCAGGGTGTGGGCATGGTACAAAGCAGTTACTTTATCTTATCACTCGAGCTTGGTCCAGTTATACCACGGCCTGGTATATCATACAAACATTCACAGACACACGTACATAGGTTAGGCCGGTATTTATGTGTGGCCGGTTGATTGAGTGCCATCTGTTCACGATCACTACCCTCGCTCATGACATCAACCACTAGTTTACGTTACCCCGACACAATTACTTGCAGCGATAGTAAACTGTTTCATCGACAGATACACGACGTCACTCACTGGCAATAACATACCTGATGCACGGACGTTCGAGTATTGCCAGATCACATCAACATTAGTAACACTTACATAGCACTTGGTTCAGGTAGCAACCAATGTATTTCCCATAGTAACGGGATGCGTTCCGGGGTTCACGGCATCAGTTGCTGTAATAGAGACCAGGGATCATGGCCTTGTCGGGGCAGATAAATACATTACCATTGCTCATGACATTGTCCTGTGTAGTGTGGCTGACTTCTCCGATACTGTCACCATAGTGACAACATTAACGTTTAAAGGACACGTACCCATTTACCGTGGTTATATATACTACTCATCACCCATTGGCAATTATAGTCGCCCTGTTCATGAAATATTCTATATGATGACATTTTGGTCATGATACATTTAATCCTTTTCTGCTCTTCTCAAAATTTCCAAACTGATGATATTTTTTATTTAATACTCTTGTTAGCCAAATTTCACATTTACAGGTGCAAAACGCAAAACTACCTACCAAACATAAAACATTTCCAAAACGAGGTTAAATACTACTACCCGATAGATACAAAACTAGACACTTTAACAAATCCAAACATGCTGAATTTTATTGGAAATGGGCTTCTTATGAAAACCTTTGGTAATATGCTACACTATATGCATATATGTATGTATCATTTTTATATGCATTTCTTATTTTTTCTTTCTCTTTTTTCAGCAAATGTTCTTTGTCCAGGATAAATTTAAAAAATCCATAAAAAAATCTTGGTCATGAACAACTTCAACATTGGTGTAAGCTTTTGGAAAACAGTGTTGGTTGGTGTTCAATCATTAGTTGACCTTTGATGAATTACATTTTTTTTCTGTGGTCCAGAGAGCTAAACGCATAACATTGCCCAGTTACAATAAAGCTCACAATATCATCCTGATGAATTATGGATTTCAAAATACAAGTCTCATTGCATTATATACTTTGAATAACTGTGTGACGTGGAATATTTTCTGTACTATAATCTACTGCTGTTCGTGTTCAGTATTCCTGAAACGTTGTGAAACTGCTTTCGTCTAGAATATTTGAATGTACAGACTTTCTTTGGATGGCTTAACGTTTAACATAATTTTAAGTGTTCAAGAATAGCTAGCGTAGTTATTGTGTCGAGTCAATAGACCCTAAATAAATTACCGTTGTGCTTTATTGACTCGATTTAAAATTTGAAAATCCGTATATATCGCGGGATATATTTTCACTATACTTTGTCTTTCAATCGCTGGGGAGCGTATTGGGTCAGGTTAGGCAGAGACTTAAAAACTATGGCCAATGTTTGTTTCACGTTTCACGTGGTTATGCGGACATTTCGAGTGAATTTCAGTTCACAAAATAGAACAGGAAGGAATGAAGAGCCTTGAAATATGTTAATAATTAATACGTTCCCGCTGTTGTTTCAGGTGTAAACCCTTCTGATAGACGGCTGGAATTGTGCCTTGTCTTGAAATGAACATTTTATATTGGTCACCTGTAGCAATAGATGTCGGGATTTAATCAGTCTATGGCCGTTGTGAAAGCGACTCTTTGTGTTCCATCTGTATAAGTGGGGTGGGGTAGCCTTGTGGTTAAAGCGTTCGCTCTCCACGCTGAAGACTCGAGTTCGATTCACTATATGGGTGCAATGTGTGATGGCCCAGATTATTCACAGAATACATTTGAAATATTTAGAATAGAATAGTATCACAATTACATTTAATAAAAATTATGCTTACAATTAGTTTCAATTAACGACTTTTTTGACGGAACGATATTTAGATGAGCAAGAAAACGTAAGCTTTGTCTTAATTATAAGATCTTATTAATCCTGTGCAAAGATATGGCATGACATTGTGATGTGCGAATTCATTTTGTTATTTGACATGTAGATTGTTTTTTTATTCGAACTGCTTTGTAAAAGTATAACGAGTGTAGCGTTATACGTCGTTGCTTGAAATGAGCTGATAGATTACAAAATAAGAGTAGCTGCTTTAGTGTAAAAAGAAATGACTAGATTAAAACACAAAACCTTCTTTCTGTACAAACAATCTCATCAAGCCAGTTGCTGTGCCCCGTCAATATATAGCAATACTGAGATGTGTACACAGGCAGGATCTACACAGTCCTGGTTGGATGTCGGGACACGGGAATTTGAAGAAAATATGCGCATCTCCCTGTTACGTGTACAGACATCTGGCAGTTCATTGGGTGATGAGACGCTAGTGGGAGACGCGTGTTGTCATTATGTTTGAATTCATTGTGTCTGGATAGCTAGATGAATTTCACACGTAATGTGGACACGAGGATTGATGTTTTAGAACCAACGATTTTTAACACATTCAAATGGTGGTTGTAAATTCGAGGGAGATGAGACTGTTGATGTGTGCGCTGTGGGTGTTTGTGTTAATCATTCAATTCATACAATCTGAGGGTAAGTTGTTTTCTCTTTCATTGATACTTCCTTCGTGCTTATTTGCGTCATATCGTATCATATCATATCATATCATAACAGCCACACGTCATCAGGAAGGGACACACAGCGTAACGTGCTTCTCTACTTAACTGCATTCAAGAAATTCCGTATCAATGACATCATGTTATGCTTTTAAAAGAAAGGAAATCAACATCTAATATTCACTTGTAACGAATGTATAAACTGTTTGCAGGGCAGTAGTAGTATCCGCTGATATGATACACAATTTTAATTTTGAAGTTGATCTAAAAACATAATTATTTTATCTAACTGTCCCTGAAATTTATTCGCTGTGCGTATTTAGTCGAACCCCACCACGGTTAAGCATGCACTAGTACTTAGAAGCATCTGCTGTTCCAAAGTACTTAAACAGCACATGTACATTCAAATCATAATATTTTATCTCCATATTTACGTGCTACCCCTAATGTCTAACGTACAGCAATATTGGATCCTTTTGATCTCGTGCGGAGAAATGTAAAACATGGAACAGCGAAATTGATTTCCCTTTTCTTTCATATACACATGAACAAATGTATCGCAACACATCTGATTTTCTACCTCCATTCAGACATTTATATTCACAATCATCATTATGTTGATCTGTATGATGATGATGACCAGTCGGGCGAAGCATACACTGATTTCAGATAAACATCTGTAATGACCAATGGCAGGTATCACGTGCTATAGTGTCCCCATCATTAAGCAAATATCTAGTTTCAGTAAAAGTTACAGATCGACTTGGAAAATCAATTGATTTCGTTGTTGATAAGCAAATGTGTGACAACTGCTCAAGTTACTGGTAGCCGGAATGCTATCATTAAGGGCAGGTAGCATGGTAGCATTGGCCCAATGCTGGTACTGGTGCCGCGAGTTACGCTTGTGCCGGCAACCGGCTTACAGCATTGGCACAGCAGTAGGCCACAGCGGGCGAGCCACTGTCTCTCAGCGGCCAGCTGGTACCAGTAGATTCCCAGCAGAGTAGCAGCATTGACCCATGTGTTCTAAATTTAAACACTTTATCAGTTCATCTGCCCGAAGCTACTTTTAGTAGTGAAACTTGAAGATTAACTTACAAATATATCTCAAAAGCCCTTGTCCAGTTTCATACAATCAGTGCACATTTATTTAGGCTATTATAATCTAATTATAATTTATAAGAAACTACAAACAATGGAAACTTTTGAAACATATACATTTGCTGCAGACTATCAACTGAGGAATTTCTCCTTTGAGCGGTATCTTCCACCATTGTTCACTCTTGCTCTTGTCCGAGGTTTTACAGATTTCAAGTCCATTTTCCACGTGATATTCTAGGATCTTTTAAAGAAAGGTATAGTCCACCATATAGTCACTGTTTTAAAATATATGTAAACATGTTACTAAAAGATAAATGGGTTATTTGGAAATGGTTGTAATTTGATACGTAAGCACCATTGAGTTAAACGTGGCCATCCTCTCCATTTACTGCAACATTTTGTTTCAGTATTATACTTGTCACTGTTTTCTGTAATCAGAAATACATGTATATACTTTTCAGTACCACATTAGGTAACAATTGCATATCTGACTGACTGGGATTGTTAAATTCTCAAATTATATTTTGAAAAGAAAGTATTTGAAATATACAAAATTGATAGAGTGAAATTTTCATTTTAACATCACATATTAATCAAAATTGAAAAGAACCCCAGAGGTAAGGCAATCTAGAATTGTCAGAATTTCTAGACTTAAGAAGGCTCCTTTAAATTCTTGCTCCAGGGTCTGGACGACAGACTAACTAGAATATTATTTGATTTTTTAGATAGAATTGTACGTTGTATTTACCGGTATATTGACTTTATCAAAATGAATGACTCGTATTGGACATCTCGTCGTAAAGTTAGAAAAAGGGTTTCAAATCATTTAGAAGCTTTGGCATCAGCCAGCAAATATGATTTATTTGAAAACCAATATAATGCTGAGGAAACTCTAACATCAACGTCTGTATCACAAGCAAGTCAATTTTTAGCATCTACAACAACATTTTCTGATGAAGGCTCATGTAGTGATGAAGATGTCGTTAATGATGAAGATGAATATGACACAATTTATGAATTTGAACAAAATGCAAGTCATGATTATCAAAAAACTAGCCATGCAACAAGTAGTTCTGAAAATGACAGCTCTGAAAATGATTATAGAGACAAAGATGAAATAATGATGTCAAAACTTAGCGAATGGGCAGTCAAATACCAGGTTCCTCATAGAACAATTTCGTCACTATTAGAAATTCTACGTAATGACTACCCTTCTCTCCCTAAGGATCCACGTACATTGCTTCTTACTCCTCAGAGTTACGCTGTGAAAAACATTACAGGGGGGCAGTACTTTCATTTTGGAATTTCAAGTTCTTTATCATATCAGCTTTCTGATAGAATGGAATTCAATATTCCTGGTAAGCAAGTGAAATTTCAAGTGAATATTGATGGTTTACCTGTTTTTAAAAGCACCTCAATGCAGTTCTGGCCAATACTTGGTAGAGTCATCCATCCCTTTCTTGGTCAACCATTTATCATAGGCCTCTTCTATGGGGCTTCCAAACCACCAAAACTTGGTGAATATTTAAACGAATTTGTAGAAGAAATGAAGGGTCTTGAGCGTGATGGGCTAGACCACAATGGCCTCAAAATTGAAGTTTCCATTTCATGTTTTATATGCGATACACCAGCCAGGGCGTTTGTTAAAGGAGTGAAAGGCCACAACGGTTACTCTGGTTGTGATAAGTGTCTTCAAAATGGTAAATGGTTGAACAAGATGACATTCCCAGAAACAAAAGCACCTCTAAGAACTGATCTTCAATTTGATGAAATGGCTGATGAAGAGCATCATTTATTCAGATCACCACTGAATCAATTATCAATAGGTATGGTTACCCAGTTTCCACTTGATTATATGCATTTGGTCTGCCTAGGTGTCATGAAAAAACTGTTGTTTTTATGGATGAAGGGTCCCGTTTCTGTAGGATGTAGAATTGGAGCAACTGCAATAAACAAACTGTCAGATAAGCTAACTCTGTATTCAAAATACATCCCAAGGGAGTTCTGTAGAAAAGGGAGATCTCTCAGGGAAATAGACAGATGGAAAGCAACAGAATATAGATTATTCTTATTATATACTGGGCCGGTTGCCCTAAATGATATTTTGTGCAATGCCGTGTACTTAAATTTTCTGCTTCTTTTGTCGGTATTACCTGTTTAGCAACCCCGCTACTAGTTCCAAATTATTGCGATTATGCCAAAGACAATTTGTGTCTTTTGTTGAACATTTTTCGCGTCTTTATGGCAATGATATGGTTGTTTATAACCTGCATGGTTTGGTACATCTATCACAGGATGTAAAAGGTTTGGTCCCTTGGACAATTTTTCATCTTTTCCTTTTGAAAGCTTCTTAGGCAAATTAAAAGCTACTTCGAACACCAAAGTGCCCCTTCAGCAGATAATAAGACGTTTAGGTGAAAGTCAGGTACCTCTTCACAAAGGTAAACATGTTTCTGAGAATCAAGGTGTAAAGTTTGAACATTCAGATGGACCTATTTTATCTAATTTAGGATACGTGACACAATATAAAGAAATCCACATGGACCGATTCTTTTTGTCAAAATCAATTGGAAATAGCTGTGTTAGTATTAACAATGAAGTTGTGATAATAAAAAATATTGTACAGAATGCAAACAAAGATATTTTAATCATATATGCTAAGTTCCTATCCAAAAAAGATTTCTTCACTTATCCACTTAAATCGTCTTCTATTGGAATTTTAAAGTTTCACATTTAAGTGACCATCTGTACGTTGGGGGGGTATCACAAATTCAAAAGAAATATGTTATCTTACCTGAAAAAGAATCATTTATTGTACTTCCTTTGCTACATCTAAACATTCAGTAAAGTGTGTATGTTGTTTCATTGGTACAGAAAACAGTGACATGATACTGCTAATTCTATACACAACCTTTTTAACAGTAAAGATGCTATTCTAATCTGTAAATTCAAGCGACAAGTGCTTTATAACAGGAAATGTACCACATAGTCAAGTTCCAAAAGACTAATGAAGTGGGGATTGTGCCACACACTTGGCTCCACGGAAGAGAGTACTGCTTTTGGCCCAAGTTCAAAAACAGTAACCAACTGGACAAGGGAGTGAAGACCTGCTGCCTCCCAGACAAGGATACATGGAAACTGTATACCATCACAGTCATGTACAGTAGTGGTAAGTATAAACGACTAAAGCTAATCAGTGTAGTTTAGTTTATCTTTAATTCTGAACACGTTTCATACTAATTCATTCATTTAAAAAATAATTATTATTAAATGATAGGTCATTGTTAACAAGATGACATACTGGCATAATGATGAGTTAATTAAATGTGTTCTATAATAATTACAGAATCGTATGACAAGGTGAGGAGAAAACTACCCCTGGCAACTGATATGTCTAACCTCGACACGGAGGCAGAGGATGATAGAGAGTCAAGGAAAAGAAGGTACCAAAATACATTTGAGTGAATATGGTTAGAAGCGTGAATATAAACATTTAACACTTCTTTAAATAGATATGATTTGTCATCACAAAATTACAAGATGATTGTTACAAAACTAAATAATTGATAATGATTTAGTGTAAAGGCTTCAATTTGAGCTCTTTGAATTGTTTGCATTTCTAAATACATTTTATAAATTCGAACTTATTTTTGATTTCAGACCAACTGGCAGGTACTTGAGTTCGAGCTCCAGCTCAAGTGATGAGGAGACACAAGTGGCAAAGACCAAGGAGTCACGAGCGTCAAAGTCCTCTGTGCCCATGCCACCTTCTCCACCTCGCCTTAGAGTTTCTCCCCAGCCGCCTTCTCCTCCTCGCCTTCCAGTCTCTCTACCTGTGGCACCGTCTCCACCCCTACCTACACTGTCGGTCCCGACCAGCCCACGGCGATCCCCCAGGCGACGGATCTTACCCGAACCATGTCCATTGCTGTCCCGACAGGATGTATGGAGGCCCAGTCACTCACCAAGTTCAACAGTGGGGGCAACTAGAGGTGTGTATGATAATAATGGTTAAACATTTATGCTTTATATTACTTATTTAAAAAATGTATCAACTTGATAATGGTAAACATTTGTGCTCAACAGTACTGATGAAAAACTATTTCCACAACCTGCACAATTGTTAATTGTTTATTTTGTTTCTATTTTCAAAACTACCAGGGGAAGTTGTTGAACTTGTAAAGATCGTGGAGTCAACTCGAGCAGTGGCTCTTGAAAATCAGAAGCTGCTTCACCAGGTCCTGAGGATTCTACAGTCTGGCTCCACGGACTTGACACCAGCTGAGGAGTTGCATCTCCCCCCTCAAAACCATCGAGGAACTGAGGGAAACTAATACTTCTCTGGAGGATTCCTCCAGATTGAGATCAGCGGTAAATATTAATTTTGTTTTAGATCAATTTCATTCCTTTCACTACTTGAGTTATTCAAACAATTGTTACAATCCAAGTCCAATTAATAGTGATTGTTGTACGGAATATTACTCTTACATGGCCATAATATATAGTTATAAACGCTAGGGAAGTTAATTATTGAAAAATTTACAATCCAACAGGTTGGGCAACTCGGAGTGGCAGGAGGCGTGTCAACAGGAGACACAATACGCAGAGTTTTGACAATGCTAATGACAAACTCGGTCGCCAAGCAGGTGAATTGGAAGGGGACTTCAGGAAAAGAACCCTTCCAACAGATGAGACTGAAGGAAGTTGTTATCAGTAAGTACTCAGTCATACGATCCATTTACGTAAGTTTGACTTCATATAGGACAATACATAATAACAATATACATTAATATGTTCAATGAAATTGGAGAATTATTGATACAGCAGCTTTATTTATTTTGTTCTATCAGCTTCAGTTTCCATTTCAGAGGCAGCACGGAAGAACCCGGTACGTTTAAAGGCGTCCGACAGCGAGCTGGAAAGCCACATTAAATTGTGGTTCCGATATGCTCCGGACAGGGACGGTGGGAGGAGGGAGAGGACCCTGCTTGCCAAGCAGAAGAAGAGCGCTGCTGCTGCTGCTACTGCAGCAGCTGAGACAAGCACAGAATAAACTGTGTACTTATCTGCTATCCTATTGTATTCATTCATTCAAATTTTTATTTCATTGCATTCTATTATAAGAGAGATAATTAAAGTTGTTAAAATGCATTTAATTTTTTGTTTTCTGTTTTCAACCGCGTATATTCAACTATTTAAGATATATACACATTTCAGCATTATTGAATTTCATATCTCAACACAATTCTAAGGTATTTGTTAAAGTTCTATATTTTTGTACGACATATAATGATATGTGAACATATGTCCTGTTTGTTATAACGTTTTTATTTCATTCTTGTTCAAAAAACCTTAGGATTTAACTTACAGTTGGTAATTACTTTAGCAATAAAGTGTCAAAGCCCTACGTTCATTTCAAAGTGCCATCATGTTTTCACAGTATTTTTAAAAGTGTTGTTTGTTACAATCACAGGAGTTGGGTGGTAGAGAAAACCAAGATACAATTTCTTGGCCTTAATAAATGAAGAACCACATATATAGATTAAAAAGCCAGGAGGATATGATTGGCAAAACAAAGGCACAGTATTGGCTACAGACTGGCACGCCATCATTGGGCCAATGCTGAGCCAGTACTGGCTACGGATTGGCCTGCCATCATTGGGCCAATGCTGGGCCAACGTTGATAATCAGCATTGGCCCAATTTTTTTTACAGCAGTGGCCCAATGCTGGCCCAATTCTGGCATGTTACCTGGGCGAGCTCGTGTTAGGCGCCGGCGAAAAAGTGCATATGTACAACGAAATATCTAGGAGCAGGTTATGTTTGGCTTAGTTCATTGTTGGCGTGGACTGTAAACCTGACCCTGTGAGGATCAGGAAGATCTTAAATTGTCAGCAGTACATCACTGGCATCCTAGACAGAGTTGTTGTACCACATTTCGATGGCCATCCTTTGAACTGAAGGCCAGTTTTTATGGACGGCAATGCTAAGTCATGCATGTGCTGGTGGAGATTTCTAAGCATCAAGAGGTGGTAGCGACTCTGTCGTGGCCCGCCAGGAGTCCAAGCCCCATTGACATAAAGCATGTTTGGGACAATAGTGGTCACACAATACAACACAGAGATCATCCAGTACAACTCGTGGTGATCTATTAGAACAAGCCCTCCATCAGGAATGAAACGCAATACACATACAATGAAGAAGAGTGTAATGGCAGTTTTCTTATGTACAATGGGAGTCAATAAAGGAGGGTACACATAGTATGGTTAGTTGAGGTTTGGATAAGTTCCTTTGTTGTGGGTAACGTTAACTTATTGAACATATTGAAAACTATTCGGTGTCGCAATATTTTTTCCATGTGTGCATATATATAATACCGATGTGTCCTCATGAGCTGACAACTTGTCGAGATTCTCCGCCTCGCCGATTCAAACTGCTTCAACCACTTCGACATAGTGTGTTGTCTAAGCACACCCTTTGAGCTATTATGCAATTAGCCTGCATCTATCCTTGCGCAATCACTTTGTCTGAATCGTGGTACGAGTAAATATGTTTTTAATTGGCATTTACCAAATGCATACAGTTTATCGGGAGGCACAAGACTAACACTTGCTGCAAAGTAAACGTTAAAAACTTGCTTTCGTTAAGACAGGCGGTCGTTTTGACCTATGTTTCACAAGGAGAAAAGACACGTGGAGCGTCTCAAAAGTTTGGTTTGGTTAGGTCTGGTTGTTGTTTAACGCCGCACTCCACAATACTCCAGCTATATGGCTGCGGTCTGTAAATAATCTGGACCAGACAATCCAGTGATCAATAGTTTAAACATTGATATCAGTATTTGGGATACGATGACATGTGTCAACCAGGTCAGCGAGCCTGACCACCCGATCCTGTTTGTCGCCTCTTACGACAAGCATGGGTTACTGAAGACCAGGAAGACGAGCTCACCTCAATGCTTGACGATCTCGTCTTGTGCCGGCCTCTACAAACCGTCACATTCATCAGTAGTGTACACAACATCGTAACCGAGATAATCTTTGCAGTTCCCGTGTCAAGTTTCAACCCCGATTTAATTTTCCCTTTCGTGGAAGGCGCTGTCGTGTCAAGCGACATCTACATGAACCATCGAAAGACTCGTCAGCAGTATGCCTCAGCGAGCGAATGAAAGTTTGGCAAATCGAAATTTCCCATCCTAGTCCTGTTGTCGTTCAAGATCATTGGAGGCCATAACATCATATGATCGTGACACCAGGCTTCATATATGTTATGCCGCTCGAACACGTGTCTTCATCATGCAATTTAACTATTTATACTTGAATCTTTTTATCAATAGTTCGTGAATATCCGAGCTTCACATATTGTTGCAATGCATGCACTAGAACCCGGATCTTCGGCTTTAACCACTGGGTTACCAAACCGCTCGTCAGTGGATTAAAACTCATGGAGGCTTGTATATAGGTATAGTTTGTCTATGTTTGGTGGCTGTACTTATCAATGTTACAGCTTTGTAGCTAATGTCTGTAACTAATCAAGTCAATGATGACGATGCGTCGATCAAGTCAGCGAGCTTGACCTTCCCACCCTGTGTGTCGCCTTTTACGACAAACATGAGCTGATGAAGACACATTCTAACCCGGATATGTTATGCTAGATGTGTTTCCCAAGTGTTTCCGATATCGTTTGTAGGTTCTCTGGTACTGACGACTGTTCCGGCAGCAGCAGCAACAACAGACAGCCACCTCATCACTCTGATCTGCAGCAGCAGCTGGGGCAGGGCCAACAGATACTGGTTCAGGGATGAAAACGTCATCTTCCGTACAACCGAGTCACTGTCCACCCTCAGTAAAGCAGCCATATCTAACCCGTACGTCTACGGCAAGTACCTGTCAGGGCGTGTCAGTGTGAACTGTGGGGTCCTCCAACACAATGTGACTCTCAGGATCAACGCTACTATTGACAAGGGGACAGAGTGGTGGTGTAAGGACACAGTGAAGAGCGAGACAAGCAACCATATAACATTACGTGAGTTAGATGTGTGCTGCAAGAATCAGTGTAACGGAAATGCCCACAATACTTGATGACAAGAGGGCTGATTTTGACATTCCAGTAGAACCGTTTCCCTTCAAGTCGACCAATATGTCAGCAGCTCCTATCTTTGTAGACCGTTTCATAAATTTAGTCCTTTCTAGTACGAACATTTCAATGCACTTTATATGACTCCTGTACAAAGTTTTCTGGTTTAGGAGTACAACATTCAAGGGCTCAGTAAAGCTTTCAGATAAAATTATGGTAGGCATGTGGGCGGTATTCACGTATATGACACACTAGTGACACAAATTATAGTGTTTCGGTAACACCTGCCTTTGGCATAGCGGGACAATATAAACGTTAGTGCTATTTCTTACGCTTATGGAGAGGGTGCTGACTGTAGATAATGGCATTCACATAAGATGGAAGTTTGTTTTGTAAATGGGAGGTCAACACACAACGATGTATGACACAAAAGTAGAAGTTTTTAGTATTCCAGCATTGTTAGCCCGGATTAAAGGGATTCATAGTTGAATCAGATTTGATATGTATGCCAATACGACTGAGCCTTGTGTCCTTGTGTTTGAAGGGAACATATCTCGGAAATTAATATGAGGTTTTATGAGTTATGAGTACTGTGTGTGTGTAGTTGCTTGACAGGATATGCCATAACACGTATACAACGTTGATCAGCTTATGAACCTGTTGTTACTTGTTCTCATTTTACATGGGCATAGACAGATCGGATACTGCTGAATAAGTCTGATGTTATCTTGGTTAATAAGAACGTACGTATGTAGTAGCCTAGCATGTGTCATGCCAATGAACAAAATGAACGTTCGGGCTAAATGAATGATTGGTATGAGTAGCTTGTGTCTGACAGGAGTGGCCCCCCTCCGAAGATTAGTTGTTAGTTGTCATTAGTAAATGGCCTCCAAACTTTATTGTGTATGGCGAGTTTGGCCGAGAACCGCTCTACATCAAATTATACAAACGAGTTAATTTTTTTTGGCATAAAGTAGCAACAAATAACCAATACTGTAATCTCTCCTCACTGATGTATAATTTTATCTCTGTTTATAACTTTGGTTGTCAACTCCGATGGATATCTTTTGTTACAACAATACTTAATACCTGCGGTTTATCAGAGGTTTTCTCACCCCCCCACAATGTCAACACGTCATGTCTGGTCCTAAATGTTGAAGCTACTCTAAAAGATCAGTTTTTACAACATTGGCGCAGCCCTATAGAAACTAGTTCTAAAGGTCAATTTTATAAATGTTTTAAAGATAAACTATGTTTTGAAAACTACTTATACTTATCCAGGGATATATATTTTCCTATATTAAAACTAAGAACTTGTAACAATAACCAACCAATTGAAACCGGCCGATGGCATTCTATTCAAAAAGAGGAAAGAATATGTAAGCTGTGTAACGCTAACGTTGATGGGGATGAGTTTCACTATCTCTTTAGATGTGAAACCCTTCTCCAACAGTGAAATACCTATCTCGCGACATATGTGTGATCTCCAAAAACATTCAATGTTAAAGAAATTATTGTTTAATAAAACTACTAAACATCTTAAGAACTGAAAGTCATTTCTGAATGTATTGTATAAATCGCTTACTAAGTAATATTCAAATGATCATGTCCAGCCACGTGCCA